AGATATTGGAAGTTTCCCTTTGAATATTCCTTAAATTTTATAAATACCTTTGAGTATTTCGAAAGCCTCATCAAAACGGTAACAATATTGTTAGCTTTTTTCATTTTTAAAGTAAAAAAATACTAAAATAATTGAATTTATCAGGATAATCATCAAAATTTCAGATCATGTGACAATTTTTTGATAATATCAGTGATAATAATCAATTAAATTGCAAGATTAACATATAATATAAAAATTCAAAAATTAAGATATATTTTTTGAAAAAAACTTTTATCTCAAAATCTAGTTTATAAAAATATTTTTTGTATTCTGATAAAAAATGTTTATTATAAGATTTTACTGTTTATTAAATAATCTTGATATAGAGCCAATTCTTAACTCTTTTTATATTATTGACATTATCAAAAATTATTACATGATTCAAAATTTTAGTGATCATCTTGATAGATTCAAAATAATTTATATATTTAAATAAGAAAAATATAAGTATATTAAAAGAATAAATAAATAAAAATTAATAAACAAGAAAATTATGAAAATAAACTTCAAGAAAATAATAAAAAACTGATAAAAAAAATGAAAATTTAAAGAAGTAATTAACAGATAAAGAAGAAAATCTTGAATAGATAAAGATAAGTTAAAAATGATAGTAACTCTTAATGAAATTAAAGAATAAGCTAAAAATTATAAAAGAATTTAATTTGATAATATTATCATTGAAGAGAGATTTAGTTTTAAAATATACAGAAAATTAATCAAAAATTAGTGATTTAAATATTCAAAAGATTAAACAAAAGAAAAAATATAAAAAAAATTGAGTAAAAAAGAATTAGAAATTAAAAATTTAGAAGTAGAAATAAATAAACTAGAAGCCAAAATATAGAAACTAGATAATAAAATATGAATAGAGTGAGAAGAGATTAAAAAAACATTAAATAAAATTATAAAATAAAGAAAATGACAAATATTTGAAATTGTATTGAAGCATGATATTGCAATAGATAAATTTTAAGACTAAATAAATTTATTAAAAAATAATTTAGCTATTAAAAATCAGAAAATAAACTGAAAAAATTATTTAATAACCAAAAAATTACTAGCTTTATTAAAATAACAAAAAGAAAATAGATTGCAAAAGTTCAAGCAATTAGTAAGTAAAATAAAAGAAAAAACTAAAGAGAAATTCTAGACTTTTATTATTTAAAAGAACAAGTAAATCAATATGAGATTAGAATATAGAATTCTGAAAATAGTTCAGGAAGATGAACAAGAGTATAACTTCTATTTTCTAGATTTTGATGATCCAGTTCTTCTTAATTTTGATATTGTTTCTGTTATTTATCAAATAATGACTTATAATATTCCTGATAATTATTTTGATATTATCTTTAGCTGTGATAAATATAAAAATAATTATAATAATAATACTCTTTTATAATATGAGAAATATGATAGATTAAAAAAAATATTTTTGTAATTATTTAAAATTTAAATTAACTAAATCACTTTCTGATAAAGAACTACTTTTATAAGCTTTCAGTTTTTGTCTAGAAAATAAAACTATAAAATTAGAAAAAAATTATTAATTATCAAAAAAAATTAAAAATTGAAAGAGAAAACATAGCCAAGTTTTAGAAAAAATCTGAAGAGTGAAATAAAAAGCAAAAACAAAAGTTATTAAATAAGGTAAAGAATTTAAAAAAAGGATTAAACAACTAAAAAAGAAAAATAGAAAATTAAAAGATCAACAAAATGATCAATTAATTGCTCAAATTGAAGTTAAAGAAACTAGAAAATGATTTTAATTGAAAATAAAAAAAAGTAATTGAGGAAATTTTTGGTTATTTTTCTCTATATAAATTGAAATTCATTCCAACTATTAAAGAAAATAATATTTATTTCTCTTAGATAAAGTTAAAAAAAATATCCTGGCTTATTGATAATAATTTAATAATTATAAAAAAGAGCAGCTACTGATAAAATAAAATTCAAATTCTTTTTGATTACAAATGTAACCATAGCATGTCATTAAAAAAATTAGACTTTTAAAATTCAAAAATTAGTTTAGAAAATTCTTCAAATTAATTTAGACACTATTAAAATCTTTCAAAATTGGTTTAGAAATAATTTAGAAAATGATTTGGAATTTGAAAGGCAACTTTAGAATTAAAAGAAAAAAAATAATCAATATTGTAATAATAAAATTATTTTTCTTTTAAAGATTTCTGCTTTTTATTAGGTAATAATGCATCATCATAATGTTTTCTTTTTCCAATATTTATTATTTTTCTTTCTTCTTGATAAATTTCATAGGTAATCCTTTCTTTTCTTAGATAAGCTTCCAGTGTTTGGATATCATTTCAAAATACTTCTAACGGTGCTATAATTCTTGGGTTCTATAGTAGACCTAATGTAAATTAACTATTTTTATCTAAAGGTAATCCTAAGAAAAAATAATAATATCATGATCACATTATATTGGTAATAAATTGTGATGTTAGACAAACATATTGATCCCTGAAATTTTGGTAATACCAATGTTCACTTTGTCTGGTTTTTGTTGAGTATGCCCCATTTAATAATAGCATACATATCAATATCCAAGAATATAATCCTTGACATCCAGTGATCCGATTTGTACAAAAATACTACTATTCGATTCATCTCGAATGGTAGGATTTTTGTTCAAATCGGATCACTGGATGTCGAAATATTGCATCTTAAAGTATCCAATTCATTTTTTTGACATTAACCGATTCATTTTTTTGGCGATCAATTTCTAATGAAAAATTGATCGAAAGATATCAATATGAATCTGTCACTTTAGGATGAACAGTAGTCGTCAAAAGTATCCGACTAACTTTCCATAAATCATACGTAATGCTCCGAATACAAAGAACAAAATAAATGCTGATCATCTATATCAGTTATAGCTTTTATATTGGGTATTAAGTACTAATCGATTTTCTCATAAAAAGTACATAACACATGTCTAAATATTTAACAACCTTATCCTTGACATTCAATTATAAAATTTGAGCACAAACGCTACCATTCGATTTGCCTATAAAAACGAATCGAATGGTGGCATTTGTGCTTGAATCGGATCACTGGATGTTAAGATATTGCGTCCAATTCGTTTTTGTAGGTACTGAAAAAATAAATCATCCATTTTATTTTTCAGCGATAGAAAAATTGATTACAAAATGTAATATCTCAACGCCCAGTGATCCGATTGGTAGCATTTGTGCTCGAATCGGATCACTGGGCGTTGAGATATTACGTCCTAAAGTGACCAATACATTGTATTTAGAGGTGAAAGTTTATGAATATACAATGCCCGATATAAGAAGCGCCAACATCACATAAGAAGCATAAAAGAGCAGTATTTGTGCTGCTCTTTGTATTCGGAAATTCTCGGTGCGTTACATATAATTTATGGAAGTCGTGAGAGGTCGGATACTTTTGACGACTACTGTAATATCTCGACATCCAGTGACCCAATTTGAGCGAAAATATTACCATTTGAGTCGCCTAGATTAGGCAAATCGAATGGTAATATTTTCACTCAAACCGGATCGCTGGACGTCGAGATATTATGTCCTAAAGTGACCGATTTATTGTATTTGGGGCATGAAAGTTTAACAATCTACTTACATGTATAACTATACATTTAACGTCCATAAAATTTGGGTGATCGTTGTATAATTTTGGTTATGTAAATTAATTCAAACATTTTTTTTTACAATAGCCAAGTACGTAGTTTTCATAGAGAACATTTTTTTATTAGTCGGATTTTTCCTGGATTCGCAAAAAAAATGTGTAGATCTCTCAATTTTCCAATAATATTATACATGTATATACATGTATATATATATATATATATATATATATATATATATATATATATATATTAAAAATTCTCGTGATGCATAACTTTTGGCAGCCAATGTATATACATGAACAGTATATATCGATATGTTTAATCGACTCCAAACACTAAGTTAAAACTAAACCAATTTCTCTGGCACTAACATTACCGCAACCTGAATACCCAATGCTATAGTTAAAGCCACGCCAACAATCCAACCACGTACAATTTTACCTTGCATCTCTTCAATAATTGGATCCAAAACTTTGCCAGCAACCGCATTCTTGACTCCTTCACCAGATGATTTTATTTTATCGGTGAAATTGGAAAAGTCACCGGTTAAATCACCGATTTCTAGACCATTCTCTGTGGCATTTATTTCGTACGGTTTGAGAACGCGTTCGCGTAGAGCATATCTTTTTTTTGGAGATATATTAGACTAGTAAGTAAAAATAATTATGTACTCGCTCTAGCATAAGCCAAATAAAATTACCTTTGAAAACAAAATCGCTTCCGGGCACCAATAAGATATGCGGTTCCTATATATAAAAATGGGAATGCCAATAATCTCCACCATCTGCTAATTCCAAATAAGATCATAGGTAACAATATCCCCAAAGTTAAACTAAAAGCAAATGATGATTTCCTAATCAAATTCCACCTCGCACACGAGTCAACATTCTGCACTGCATCCTTCATAAAGTTTCTCAATGAGTTTTGTCGCATCAGATTATACACGTATCGAACGACTGGCTCAAATATGCTCGGATGAGTTGTCTGAGTAGCAAAGCGAATCACAGATTTACGCATCGTCGACGGAATGTTTAGTTCTTTTGCAGCATCAGCAGTCAGATAAGTTCGTATGATTTGGTCGACTTCATTTCGGAATGGCTGAACTGAAGTTGAAGTGACTAGATTGTAAGGTATCGTTATTGGTGAAGGTATAACTTGGAGATTTTTTCGTTGGAAACGAGTTTGAGAGGGAAGATAAATTTTTACAATTTGTGCACTTTGGATAATTGTACTTCGATAAGATGACAATGATGACCGAGTTGTTGCTGGTGGAAGTGATGTTAACTGTAAATCATTCGGATTAAGATCTTTGAAAAACGGAGAATCTGGTGCAAAGGCTTGTGCAAACAGGTCACCTGTTGATAAATCCAAGTCTACAAATGTAGAATCATCTATGCGAAGACTTGATTTTTCCCCAGGATTCACAGTTATTATAGAATTGGTTTTTGATGCTAAAGGCGTTCCTAAAAGTGTTGATCCGGATGAATTTCTTTTCATGCCAACTAGAGTAGCAGCATCAAAACTCTCTGCCTCTTGAAAATTCGGTATTGTTGGTGATAATTGAGGTGTCTCGCCGCTTTTCCTTGACATAACGGATTGTTCCGTGTAAGAAGCTAATCCTTTTCCTGTCAGACTAGAACGTCGTTCTAATGTTCTTGCTGTCAGACATAAATCTCGTTGCTCCACCGGAAGATTAGCGAATTTGAGCTTATAGCGTTGAAACCATTGATAGAATTCTGAAAAAAAAAAAACGTAAATCATTTTATTTTTAAGAGATAAATAATGTGCAGCATAAAATAAATTTTACTCACCGAGATTTTCAATCGAGCGTTCTTTGTATTTCAAAAAAGCATGAAATTCCTAAATAAAATATGTTGTTAAAAAACTATCTATTTTCTATTTTTTTCAAGCTATCTTACCTTTAATGAAATAGGCTCACACGTTTTCCCTTCTAGCAACATATGCAGAATATCCGAATTACGTTCATAATTGCTTTTATTCGCTTTTGTCTGCATCGAAGCTATATTTGATATATAAAATTATCGAGTAATCAATCTATCTCCTTTAGATGGCAAAACAAACAATCTGTTTCCTGAATAATTGTGGTGGCTTTAAGGTTATTATCACCGATATTAGTCAATAATTTAGTGACGGTATACATAAAGGTAAAAGGTAAATTTCTTCTGAATCACCACTTGCACTTCAGTTTAAAGGGATGTGAAATTCATTGAATTATATCTACATTTACGATAGGGTAAAACGAAACGAGTAGCATGTTATATGTTTCATTTTATCTTGAGATCACAAGGAATAATTAACTATTATTAAAATTTTTAGCAATACTAATTTTAAAAATTTTGAATCACATTTGGATCAATGTGATGCTCCATGTGTATCATGTGTATCATATACAGAATAGTAGATCTCTATACGTATTTTACGTATGCAGAATGGCGAATCCGGTGACTAGCATCAGGGCACTCATTTGAGCCTACATACATTCGGTTCTGTACCGCCACACATTTTAGTATTGTTACACATTTAGATCATTCTGGAACAGTATAGTACTAAAACTCTATATACAGTTACACATTTTGGAACTATGTTGTACCAGAATAATCCAAAATGTATAACAATACTGACAATTCAATATCGATATAGTATACCCTTTGGCATGGATTCAGGATACATAGTATATTTGTACCATACTGTACCGAATCTGTATATACACTGTTAAAAATAGACAGTATAGAACCAAAATGTGTAGCGGTATAGTACCGAATGTGTGTAGACTCCATCCCCACGTGGGGAGAGATCTGATGGTACCATAGAAATCAATCCGTAACAAGATTGGAGAATTTCTTTACAGGGCTATCTCATCCCGTTAGGACAGGCAGGACGCATATAGTCGGTGTTAGCCAAAGTATCGGAATTTATGCAGAGATTAATTCGATTTGAACTACGTACGTATTACGAATTTTTTACTCAAGAAAATATCACCACTAAAAACGGTCCTTATTCAAAAAATTAATGCAAAACCTAAAAATATTTACATTTATAAATATCAAAAAAACTTTGGTTAATCTATGGTATATCTAGACGTTCTTTTAATATTTTGATTTCACCACCAAGTTCTTTTATAATGTTTTTTAACTCTTTCTTATCTTCTTCGAGTTCTTCCTGTGTATATTCGAGTTTTCCGAGTTGAAATTCGAGTTCTTCATTTCTTTCGCGTAATTCATCAAACTCATTCATAACTTCTTGAAGTTCTTCGTGCTCAATTTTAAGTTTCTCGTCTTTAATCACGAGTTCTTCGCATATACCTCGAAGTTCTTTAACAAATTCACGGACTTGTTCTTTTTTAGCTTTAAGTAATTCATTGTTGAATATGAGTTTTTGATTTTTTTCTTGTAGATTTTCAGTGTATTTTTTGAACCATTCATTTTGTGTTTCTAACTCGTCAACCGAATACTGAAGTTTATCAGCTTGATACCGAAGCGTTTCGATTTGACCCTCAGAATGATTTAGCAAATTATTTGTAAACTGAAGTCGACCACGCTGATGACGAAATTCGCTGAGTTCTTGTTTCAAATTTTTATTTTCGTCTTCGAGCTCGAAAATTTTCGCTTCAAGCTCACTGATATGATTTTCATAGTCCGCAATATCGCCATGTAATTCGTCAATAGATTCGGAAAGATGAAAATTTTGATCGTTCGCTTCTTCGAATTCTTCTTTCAAATTATTAAATCCATGCTGAATAAAATTGATGTATTTTGCGTATTCTGTCGGAAGATTGATGATTGCTCGCCATTGTCGGCAAACATTTCGTGTGACAAGGAGTGATTCGACTGACGAAAAAGAAAATATATGGTATATGAGTTCTGGTGTTGTTAAAACGTTGGTGACTGGAGATATCATAATCAATGTTGACATTGTTTCTGTGAAAACACTCGAATATTTTTTATATGCTTTAAATTTGGTATTCAAGGAGAATTTTAGTTGTTTTGCACAAAGAACGAGATTCAAATAATGAGGCTTGTACGTATAAAAATCGTGTTTAAGGCTGAGTAACAAACTTTATCATGCACAACAAATAAAAAAATTCTATCCAAATTTGTAAACGTATAATTTTTCTGTTAAAAAAATATAATTATAATTCCGAGCTTTACTTTCAAGTTACTAAGCATATTTTAAAATAAAAACTGCAAAGAAATTTATTCTTGCTTCATGTCTAAATTTCTCGTTAATCTCCAAGAGTGAAGTTACAATGCCGAATTTGCTACACGCATCTGTAAAAAAAACCCAAATATTCTTTATCCAGTAAATCGCCGGTATTTTTAGTCCGACCTAGTCCACAACGATAACACCCATAAATCGGACAACAAAGTGCTGCACTATACGTATAGCACATTTACCATCCGAATTAAATTTTAAGTGCTAATCAGAAACGCCAGTGATTGTTGTTGCAGACATAGCTGCTTCCCCCACGAAAAGTGTATTGTAGTTGTCATTCCGGATTTATTTCCGGTGTCTATGCCGGATCCGGGTTGAATATTGTGATTAAATGTTAAATTTGCAATGAATTTACTGTATATCTCCGAAAACAAGCTACTTCTTAAGTTTTCAAGTCTAAAATTGTGCAAAAAAAAGGTAGCTTATTTTCGTAGATATACGATATTATATTGCGTATTAATAAAAAATACAAATTATATGAATAGGCAATTTTATCGTAGATTCCCTTATAGTGGAGACCGTTGTAAAAATCAAATACATTCATTTTATGCATGTCATTTAGTTAATACATGTAATTATTTTACGGAAGCTCTCTTAAATACGACACACTCTTTATTTTTCATGCATCGAATTACTAAATCATTTCAAAGGTTTACATAATTAAAACCTAGATTCGTTGGTTCATTTATACAACTGCAGTTTCAAAAACACATTTACGTAGTTTGTGATCGCAAAATTTTATGTATACGTACATGTACTTAGCGCTACAAATTTTAGATGCCGATACCGGAAAAATAGTCGTATATACAATACATACTACGTGCCATAATTTATCCGGTCGTAAATTAATTTGTTTCGAAAGTAATTTTAATTCGTTTTTTTTTTTTACTTAATCCGTGAAAAGACTTTAAACTTGTGCTATTCTTGGGGATTCTGGCTTAAGGAAAATTTGATAAAGATAAGAAATGGACTTGACTTCGCCCTATATTGCCCTTATTGTTGTTTATTAAGCCATGCCGATATACTTACACAATATATATAGAAACGATGATATATATGATGGTTTTATAAAGTAGGCCTGAAGTATCTCACAGTTTCAGATAATCAAGTATTATCCGCACGTTTTCCCGCCATCCGCACATTATTTCACTATTCCCGGTATTATCACAATTATATATTTCAGTTCAGTAATATTGTGAGAGCTTTACCTGGATGCGAAGAGATTAAATCGAAATATTGGGGTTGAAGTGGTATGTGACTGTAGTTAGTAATTAGTAATTAGCAACGATACAATGAAAAGTGTAATCTAATATAGGTGTTCTACGCCAAAACTCAAGAAGCACTCCTCCCGTTTCGGGTTGAGTCTGGTCTTGGCTAGTATTAAATAAATTGTACAATTGATAGAATCGAGTTTTTCTGCCTGTATATTAGGGTCGTTAATGGAGCGGAGCGGAGGGGAGTGAATTGGGTTCATATTATAGTGGAGCAAGGGGTCAATCAAATTAAACTTGCTCGAGTTCATTGTTTCGGGTTTTGCTCCAATACTGCTCCAGATACCTCGGAGTATTTATAAAAGTCACATGTAATTAATTTGATTGGATATAAAATAATTTTATTGATAAACAAGTTTGACACTCGTATTTCAAAAATAAAAAAAGATAAAAAGTTTATGATTTTATGATTCTAAAAAACAAGCTTCATACTCGTATTTCAAAAATAAAAAATTAGGAAACAATAATTATGAATTTATTTACCCACATCCGCTTGGTCCTACAATTATTGTCTCTTTCTCTTTTGTCATAACGAGACTAACACGAACAATACTATATTTTCGAATCTGTTTCCATTTACCTTGGAGAATCAGTGATTTCGCGTCAGGAATGTTCTAATCCGAAACTATTTTAAAATAGATTATCATTCTAGTTCCGGGTCACTCAATGTGGAGCAAGAGTGTCACATGAAGTGGTTTGGGTTTATAAATTATGGCTCCGGAGCGGAGTGAAATTTAGAAATTACATAGTAACCCGGAGTATGCTGTTCCATTAACAACCCCTACTGTGTAGATATAGTGTTTGGATCTGGTCAATATAATATCCGGATCATCCAGAGCATTCAGATATAAATGACCGGATTAGAAACTCTTAAACGGATCATAAAAGTGCCGGGCGGTTTAAAGAACCTCTGTGTAAAGTACCCTCACACCTTTTTTTACCAATAGTTTTCTTCTTTTTACTAATACTTGGGTCTTTTAAACCGCCCGATGCGGTAATCACAACTGCACCGTTATTTATTTGATACGTCAGATTTTACAATGTGTGTGCAATTATTATAAAAATTATTTTTTACCTTCCTTCTTTTTTTCAGACAACTTCCCACTCAAAATCCTTTTTAGATAATTTCTCACTCAAGAGTCACACAATTTTCACTAAGAGTCGATACGTACTTATTTTTGTCGTAAGTGATCACAGCGGAAGATAACTATTGCATTACACGTGTAAATTAGTCTTCACAAAATAATACCTAAATTATCTGAAACTATACCTGTTCTTATTGTATTTGACATACATATATATCCCTTCCTGAAGCAAACAAGCCAGAATAATTAACAGTATCGTTCCATTTCTTCATAAACAAGGCCACAGTCGTCACAATCACAACATCTACAAATATTTTCAAGACAAATCATGGGAGGGGCTTCAAAAACGAAGTAAACAACATAAATTTTAAAGTACATTAATAACCCTGACCCTGGTGTATAATATAGTCTCTATTGGTCTCTATTAATGCCAAAACACAGTTTTTCATTTTACCATTCAAATTTATCGGAAAGATAATTCCATTCTTTTATTGACATTATATAAATCTCGACGTCCAGCAATCCAATTCGAACAAAAATACCACCATTAAATTTGTCTTGACTAGACGGATAAATGGTGGTATTTTCGCTCGAATGGATCGCTGGATATTGAGATATTACATACTAAATGAAAATTTGTATTATTTGGAAAGAAAAAAATTACAACAATTAATAACGTTGAGGATCAGGATTTGTGTTATTTTATGTGTTGTAAGACATCCAGAGTATTATATTGAATTTACAGCAAGTTATGAAGGATAGGTTAGTTATGACCGGTACTGTATTTCACGAATATAAATTAACCGTAATTTATAAAACTTAATGGTAGCTTGGGGAAAGATAGTTTACCTTTATCGGTGAGCAACAAGATCATCACAATGCAAATGAAGAGATAAACTGAAACGATGCTTCATGGTTGTAGCAAGGGATTTTAAAGTATCGTGAATTAAAGTTATACCACGCTTCCTAATCGGTCACCTGTGGTTTAAACTAAAGTCTAATACCAAAATATAATTTATTAATTATGCCAATTATTTAATTAAATTCATTACATACAAAGTAAATTATTTTTAATATGACTTGTTTACTTGAAGTTGCTTTATACTCATTACTATCTCTTTTTCATTGTAGGAATATTTTCAAAAATTTATTGTAGTGATCTGTTAAAGGAACTAGTTACATACTTGAACGAATCTCACTATATAACGAAGATTTTAAAAAAACCTTTTATTATGAGCTATTAATAAAAAGAGACCAATTTAACGAGAAATTCACATTAACAAAATTTTTAACTGGAATGGGAATACTTGATTGCAATCTTATTAGAAATGATATATTGTAAAAATCAAGTTAAAATAAAAAAAGTTCGAAATTGTAATGAAAATGTCAATAATTACATGTACAGGATCCAAGAAATGGTAATGTTAATAATAATATCAGTGCCAATGGAGAAGTGAGCATTTTATATGCTAAATTGTGTGTTTGTTGTTACAAGCACGCACTTTTATAGTCTTATCGTCGCGAAATCTATCTCAATTATACTTTTCGGTGATCATATCAGCCAACAATGCGGATTTTCGAATTGTTGCCACAAAAAACGCTGATTAATTTATTCAATCCAGTAAAACTTATGTTTGGTTATTCAGGGCAACCGAATTTCCATTATAGCATTCAAGGGATTGAAATATTACAATTTCCTATATCATAATTGTTTATATAATATACAGAAAAGATGAAGATACATCTAAAACATAAAATTTCAATTTAAAGGAAAAAATTGACTTTTGAAGCTCTCACATACTATATGACACTATAAAGATAATTTCCTAATTACGTAATTACAGTTTATTATCGTCTAATTGTAATTTATAGAAAATAATAGTGTATTGCTTCATTGTTATAAAAATAAATTATTGATATCATTATTGAAGAACTAGACACGGCGATAAGAAAAGATTATTTTCGACTACTATTGAAATAGCCGGTGAAGAAGTTATATCTATAAAGAATTTTCCAGGATGTTGAATATGTAGTACATGTAGTACAGTAACCCACAAAAATATCCACCATCTCTAACCTTTCATATATCGATATCGTCTATAACACCCGAAGATATTCCTAACACAAAGAAC